ATTCCTCTCTCTGTAGCCTATCTATTTCTTTCTTCCTTCCTCTTCCTCCTCTTTTGTGTTATTTCCTTCATCCCCATCCCCCTCTCTTTCTTTCTCTTTTACGCTCTCATTTTTTATTTCCTATCCCATCTCAATCTCTACAGTATTTCGTTATACATGCTTTGTGATCCCCATTTTACTTAGCGTCTCTCTGTCTCCCACTCCCCATCTCCCCCTCTCCCTCTCCCCCTCTCCCTCTCCCTCTCTCTCTCTTTCTCTTTCTATCTTTCTTTCTCTCAGTTCATACTTGAGCTCGTTATACCATCTGTTCCTATTTCTTTTGTTCCATGTTTATAGATCAAGTGTATACTGATCAATTCCTTTTATTCACCTGCATTAAAAGCCGATTAAAACCAACGGCAGGAAGCGATTATCAATGACCACGGATGTTGTATTTAGGGGGCATGTCGCCTGTAATGTTTGCCCATCTTTAGACTTAGGTCCTAATCAATACGAAAAGGATAATCTTATACGCACACTTGAAAAATGAAAAGCTAATTCAGAAAAACTGGTCGTGAGAAACCATTAAACAAAACATTTAAACCTGCTCACTTACATAACAGGTTTATTCAGAAGAAAATTATACAGTATACAATTATTGATTATCAGATCATTTAGATGGATAGGGGCATAGGGCAACATTTTTGTGTGTAAAACATTCTTAATGTGATTCTTTTGGTGTCGCATATATTTGTTTTGACTGGACCTTTTCGTTACTTCTCACATCTGATTTGTTATGATTAATAACATGTCTGTGTTTTCGTGAAGTTATAGTGAACTGTGTGTTTGTTGTTGTTGTATTTCCAGTAAAGCAGTCAGGAAATGACTGATAAAGATTATGTTCGCACTGGCTGGACGTGTAGTTCAAGATACTTTAATTCAAAGTTTATAGTTTATCTGATGGCTACATTGACTTGATAACCCCAACAAAGCTTGAGCAGTCTCAATTAGTAAATTAGATATGTAGGCCTATATGATGTTGTGTTTATAAACCCATTTTAATACTTTATAACTATTAATGTGGCAATAACGTTCGTCTAGACTTGGCTTATTTAACCTCTCTGTAAATAGCTCATAAATTATGTAAGGCTCCGAAACATCTCCTTTTCCAGCCAAAACAGTAACCAGAGCACCAGACTACTTTTAAGTACAAGCAGGAAATGTGTCGCATGTTTACCTCAATTTTAAAGCCCGTCAGGAAATCCAAAACGGAACGATTTGTTTGTCGTTTTGTTATCTTCAAGAACCTTTGGCAAACCTTCTACTATTGGAATAATTTATAAGTGTACCCCTTGCCCTCCCCCCTCCACCCTCAGTAATCCGTAGACCATTACGCGTAAAATTGTATAAAATAATGAGAAAGTAAGAAAAGAATTTGAGAAAAATGATTACAAGTAGATGAGAGTGGGACAACTATTAGGCTTCTTCGAAAAATAAAGTCACCTTCAGAAAAAAGTTAACAACGGCCCAGAGTGGAAATCTAATAGATCAATAGCACCTATACGAATAACTGATATCATAGATAGTGCATGTATCATATTATGGAACATGGAAACGTTTTTGCAACAGTTTGACGAATATGTTTTTTTGTTTAAACCTGCCAACCCTGGAGTAATACTCTGGACACTCCTTCATGGCACTCCTCATATACAGTATACTCCTAAATATGAACCCATGTTGTGGGTCTCTCTATGATTAGGGTATGGGAAAATTTCGACAGAGAGAGAGAGAGAGAGGGAGAGAGAGTGGGAGAGTGAGAGAGAGAGAGAGTGGGAGAGTGAGAGAGAGAGAGAGAGAGAGAGAGTGGGAGAGTGAGAGAGAGAGAGAGAGAGAGAGAGAGGGGGAGAGAGAGAGAGAGAGGGAGAGTAAGAGAGAGAGAGAGAGAACGGAAGAGAGGGGGAGGGAGGGGAGAGAGAGAGAGAGAGAGAGAAGATTTTTTTTATTTTTAGAAAGACAAGGATATATAATTATGCGTGTATATATATATATATATATATAGAGAGAGAGAGAGAGAGAGAGAGAGAGAGAGAGAGAGAGAGAGAGAGAGGGAAGGAGAGATTGAAATAGATCTTTTAGGGGAGTGACGTTTATATAAGAACGTAATTTGTCAAGTAAAAACAATCAGGATGGACGGTCATTTCCAGACATGAAATTCCGTGAGAAAAATATAATCCCTGCCCTTTCCTTTTTAGTTTTCTTTAAAAATAAACATCGTAGCACTTACACGTTACCTTTCAACTTTGTAACTTTTGGTATTGGTCATCTCTCTCTCTCTCTTTCTCTCTCTTTCTCTGTGTGTCTCTCTCTCTCTCATTTTCTTTTACATTCTATCTTTTTATATCTATCTATATATGTATTTATGTATCAATTTATATATGTCTTTTTCTGTCTCTCTTTCTCTCTCTCATGATTAATTTCTTACTTGCTCTCTCCATATATCTATCTCTATTATACTTCTGTTCCCCGACTTCTCTCTCATTTTCCCTATTTTCTCTAGTTTCTTCTCGCCCAATCTCATGTCGTTCTGCCTGTAGACAGTAGCGTACGCATGATTTTTTGTTGGGGGGGGGGGTAAGGTCACCTTTTTTAGGTCAGCCATTTGAATAATTTTTCTTTAAAAAAAATTGTTAATAAAAAAAATAAAAAAAACACACAAAGGGGGGGGGGGGGGGTTTGCTCTAAAATAAACACATACAAAAAATGAAGGGGGGGGGGGGTTAACACCCAACCCCCCCCCCCCCCCCCCTCTGCGTACGCGTCTGCCTGCAGACATAACTTGTTCTATATCACTTTCTCTCTCTCTCTCTCTCTCTCTCTCTCTCTCCCCTTTTCTTTGATCAGCTGCTCTCCATACACAAGTACATGTATATATTATGCTAGTAAATGTATGTTCTTTCTATCGAACCTACCTGTTCGTGCACCCTTCCTGAGGAAATTATAGCGTATTGTATATATTTTTGTTTTAAATGAGTATATAGCTATGGATGAAATCATTTCGCGCCCTCTTGTGCTTAAAGTACGATGCATGCAGAGTATTGAGGGAGCAGCGATATCATAAAATAAAACCATAACAAACAACAACCAAACAAATATATAGGACCATTGTAATTCCAACACTGGTTTTTTTTTTACTTAATAAAAATGATCCATGAGAGTGTTATATTTTCTAGGTATTCCACTTTTACTACATTGATAGCAACAACAAAATAAGTTGAAACACCTGAAATGTGAAGAAATATATTTAACACTAACATCATTGCTCAATATCCAATGATGGGTTAGGAAAGTAAGATAAAATACGATAATTTTTCAAAAATGTCAAATTAAAAATACTTTAACATCTCCAACATTATCATATGACAGTATTTTATAACCTAGTGAAGATTGTATAATTATTGTATCTTAATTCTAACGATTTTATAACCCTTTAGATCTTCTTTTGTAAACTCAATATTTTGAGTTTTGGTTTTTCGAAAGAGAACAGTGTTTTATTGCTTCTACAACAGTCTAAGTCTTAATGACAACTCCAGCATAACATTGCAAACAAATATATTTCATACGCCATCCGTGTAATATTATACGTACTGCTCCTAACATGCTTAAGCTACGTAACATTTTATTGGTTTGGTTTATAAGGTAAAGATCACCGAATAATCAACTACCAGCTAAATATGTTCAACAATTTACAGAGTAAAAATTACATGACCTAAACGTACATTGATAATACATTAAAATATATTTCAAACTAAACAAGAATTTTGAATGTTTACTCGTGAGTTACAAGTTTAATTGATAATATAAAATTGCCATTTGTTTTAAGTAAAAGATAAATTTGAGAATGTCAAATCAAAGATACTTGAACATCTCCAACATTATCATATGACAGTATTTTATAACCGAGAGAACTGAGACAAATCTGAGAATTAATACTATACTGTTTATTACAACAATGACGGAGTAGGTAGCCCACGAAGACTGATATAGATTGAGAGATGTAAATAATAAAGAGAAAATAGAGTTAAAATTGTATACATGCAGGTGAACATCTGAAGGTAAGTTACACAATAATGATATTCAAGATTTATCGACATGTTATTAAAAAAGCACAATCAAACTTTCTATTGCTCAGAGACCAGTTTATATCAGTCCATATGGATGATAATGTCATGTTTTAAACGCAAAACCATTAAAGATAAAGACCAGTATTGGAAACGCCCCAATTTCAAAAAATGAAATGGAAGCTCTCATTACCAATCATGTGAAAGAATATGTTTTGACTAATACATGATGATAAAAAATTTGCCGGGAAACCGCCTACTAATTCATATATTTGGTAAATTTGTTTCTCTCATGGTCTGTGAGAGATATAGGGTAGTCCCATATACATCATTCTGTGTATAGTGCTTGTAACTTTACGAAGAATGGGCCAAATTTCTTATCATTTTGATGATTCCAGAACCTTGCAGATGCTAGATGCTAGATGATCAACCTTTTCTGATCGATTCCACAACGTTTCTTTGGAAAATGTGCACACATTGTGTGCGGGTAAGCCTGAATCCGATGACCGGGGTAATAATATATCTGTAAAGCGCTTAGGTACATCGTTGGATCGGTGTATTGAGCGCTATATAAAAAACCGGATTATTATTATTATTATTATTTCACAATGCAATCGCATGACCATAACTGGTCTTTACCTTTAAACGGTCACTTCTATCCTAAATATTATTCATTTGGTGGAAATATGTACCTCAAACATGTCAATTATTTATGCACCTACAAATTGTTGATATTAACTGCATGTACTTTTTAAAAACGATATTGTACATTATAATATATACACATAATAATTATGCAGTCTGAATATCTGATAGTGGGGAAGTGATATTTTCTTCTTCAAGACGTACATAAGAAAACAAATTTGGTTTAGTAGTTTTTTAAACGATGAGTTGAGAACTAACTGTAGAAAAGTGTCTTTGCTTTCCTTCAGTTGTTTTTTGAAGACTTTTTCTCACATTTACATTTTAAATACAGAAAATGATAGAAATATGAAACGCAAGATATCCTTAATAGTTCCCGATACCGATCGAGCACCCTACAAATATATATATACGAGCAAAGATATAATAGCACTACCGATAAATAATGTCATTTTAGTACAGCTAATGTCAGTCACATTGTTTCAAATAGCACTCCATTTATCCGACCGTAGCCGAGCGAGAAAGATGTACGTGGCGCTCTATAGCATCCAATTACAACTGGGAGGAGAGTGGCAAATGAAGACGGATACCTTGGTAAAGAACATTATAATAGAACGCCGCGCTGGGATTGGAACCGTTAACCTCCACATAACATAACAAGTATATATTATACTGAAACAGAGCGCGCAAGAGAGACACACAGAGAGAGAGTGGGAGATATGTATATATATATATATAGAGAGAGAGAGAGAGAGAGAGAGAGAGGCCAATAGAGACAGAGAGAAGAAAAAGAAGAAGGTTCTGGACTATTATCATTTATACAGTCCTCTTTGATTATGCTAAGAAAGGGGATTTTATTTAGGTCCGGTTGGTGTCATATACTGATTCTCTTGATAATATCCACTATCTCTCGGATTGTTAAAGAAGGCGCCTCCTGTTGACGATCGTTCGATTTTGGGTTCAATGACCTCCATCCAGTAGCTCAACTTGCGTGTTTTCTGGAAGGCACTTCCGCGGTTGTCAAACTTCACCACATCTGGAGTTGGGGGATTGAATGAGAACGAATTTTTGAAGAAATGGTTTTTGTAACATAATTTTAAAAGGAGACTGCCGAAGGTTGAAAATGAACAGACGGTCAAAACGAAAAGTGTCTTAACAACTTAATACTTGTTTATTGGAAAAACGACAACAACATAGGGCGTATCAGTCGTGATGACTATAGATTATCACAGATTAAGAATTATTTTTGTTAAATAGAGAAATAGGCACTTCCCCAAAAATATATTCGATCTGAAGGGGAGGAGCAAAATGAAGATGATATCTATAAATATAACTTACACAATCCGGGTTCTTCAAAGAGTACTTCTCCATCCTCCGGTATGATATGACTGCAATACCTCTTCTCATCTAAGATAGAGATCTTCTCTCCAGATTCCGACAACCGGTAGATCCCGAAAGCAATGTCGTTGGACGCTGTCTTGAACTCGTAACTATAGCAGAAAAAAAAACAAAATTTGCCCGATCGGCTCAATTATATTGATACATTTCCTACGATATGTTAGCTGCTATTCTTGGCTATGCGACTACACAGGGTAAGAAACAATGCGATAAACATACTGTGGGCATGAAGACCACAGTGTGCGCCCGGGAAATATTCACAGTGCTGTCAAAGTGAGTGACATTCTATGTTCAATGCATTGTTTATAATATGTGATGACCATGGTACAGAGATATCAACGATGATGTGTTCACAACATACTGTGAACACAGAGTGAGTTTAGAACTCTTTTGTGTTGAGAATGTTCACACATTGTGTTCACAATGTATACGCTTTGTGTACTCATAGTGTAGACATAATGTGTGTACAGGCTAGTCACACTAAATTACACTGTGTGTAAAATGTGGCTCCACTGTATACACTGTTTTACACTCTTCACACACCGTGTCCACACTGTGTTAACACTTTATACACACTGTGCATTCGAGTTTTGCTTTTGTTGCTAACTTCAAACACCAGGGATATTCAGTTTTAGCACCTTTATAGACATATCGATAAACGCTGAGCAATCATTATGTAAGTACCCGGGTATTTTATTGAGCCTGATAAATTATTTTGTCTCTGACACCGTGGAAATCCTCAAACATGACAAAGGACAAACCTTAAGATACTGCCTGCGGTCGAGATTCTGTGCTTGACTTCAGTTGACCTTTTACCCGGAAGTTCCATGAAGGTCATGTCATCATGATTGAGGTCACTTCCTTTTTTGTAGAAGAATGAAGGAACCTTTCCCCGAGGTTGATCTAAGTATCATCAGAAAGTGTAAATATAATCAAAATAATTGATCAATAAGAAAACGTAGGCGTAAATGCGTCTTAAGATGGCTTTTCTGAAGCATGGTTTTGTCTCTCGTAAAAATTTGCCCAATGGAAATTCATTTGATCAAATGATTACAATTTAGATTCTGATGACAACATTAAAATGATTAGGCATAAGTATTAAATACCGGAAGGAATTTGGAATGATTACACCTAGATATTATGCTCCAGTAAGAAAATTCAAAGAAGTTTTTAGGAGCCATAATCTTCATCACTTAACGATAACAAAAATGTACAGGTAATCTTATTTAAAACTCTATTGTATAAATGAAGGCACGATGTCACTCTTTAATATCATAATTATGAAACAAGCTTAACAAAATATTTTAAAAAAAAAAAAAAAAAACGATTACATGTACATGATATACGATATACAAGCTCGTTCCCATTTGACGTAGATTCTAGACAATCTCCGAAAGTGTCGCTAAACGTGAGTGGGAAAGGGTACAATAGCCCTTACGAATAATTGCTTTTCAATAGTCATATTGTATTATGATTCATGTTGTTAGGATGATGAGACATAATGTTTGTCCTACCTAGCAACACCTAAATTATGCATGCCATTTGAATTCTGACCATTGAGATATATTTATTCGTAACAGGTGTATCAAATATTCGCATCGAGGCGCTTCACTAAGACGTAATGCATTATATTTGGTTACATACGAAAATATATTTGGCGGCGAGTTTGCCGATAAAAAGGGGGGGGGGGGCATTTCATCAACATATTTTGTCCGCCGACAAATGTCAGCGCTGACTAAATTTGACCAATCAGAGGCCTGGAAAATAGTCGATGACACTTAAGTGTCGGCGAAAGTGATATAAGTCGGTGAAAACCACCGACTAATAAAATTGTTTCATGAACCCCCCTCCCCCCCCCCCCCCTGGCTACATCTCTTACCTTACTTGGGCACATGTTAGGAACCCCATCTGTATCAGTGAGAGTACCGCCCCAGTGAACAGGTAATATCTCAGCATCTATGTGCTTCAAGAGAACCTCACGCCAGTTACCTAGATTTAGGCAGAATGATGTGAAATAATACATTTTTCCATTTGCCATTTTGAAATATTACATTTCGATAAGTCGATATATTTCATGACTTTAGTCTACATCGGTTGGTACAAAAAAACAGCTGCATGTATGTTGTGCACATTACCGCTCGTTATTTCTTTTTCAGCAACCAATTTATGACCATCTGTCTTGATCACGTTTTGAGCAATGTTAAGTAATTTTGGTATATCTTTCGTAATTACTATCCTCCATGTACGTCTCTGGATCATAGATTTAGGAGGAAATAACTTACCCGAAGATGATATCGAACCCGCGGTCTCTAGATTCCAAACCCATTGCTACTTCCACTTGGCCAACACGTCTTAAAAATCAACAATATTATTGTCATGACTTACGTTTGGTTAAAGGGTGTTTTGGTGTGTTCGTAGGTTTAATTTGCTTGTTTTTTGTTTTATCATTGTTTTATCTTAGAGGTTGGACTTACTTCCTAACACATGTATTCTCTCTCTGGTATCTTCTGTGAAGCATGGCCTTATGAGATAGTAGGCTATCGGTAAGAGCTTGGTAGGTCGGACTACAAACATCTGATGAATAAAACCCGGATAATGCTCCTCGATGATTGTGAACAGCTAAAGAAATGAAATATGGTGAAAGTAAAAATGTAGACGATTGCATAGCAATTAAATCAACAAAGCAGTGTCAGACACGTTTTGCATATCTTGTTATGTTATTTTTTTAAAAAATAATTCTACATTTTAGAGCATCGTGAACAAATACCATCACTCATACTCAAGGTGACGTCATCACACAACTATTTCCAAATATCTGGCAAAAGTATAAGAGCCTTGTCGATGATGATGTGATAAACTCTTAAAAACTCACATGTTAAATCCTCTTTTTAAAAGAGCCGAGGAGCAACAGCGTGATAAAAATGGCATACATGTATTACAATTTCGAACAGTTTGGATTCAGACCTTTTTAGTGATTTTGGATCCAGCTTTTTAAAAATGTACCTTTAGTTTTTAGAGCATATGACCATTCTTGATATTTTGTATAGATTCTAATTTTGAATGGTTTTCTAGGATGCATTGGGCGAATGATATCTTGGGTTCAGGAGGTGGGGGGGGGGGGGGGGGGGGCAGGTCCTGCAGGTTTGTGTCAGCGACAGGGCCGTAGCCAGAGTTTGATGTTTGGGGGGGGGGCGCATACATGTCATTGATCGATGTCCTGGGGAGGGGTCTAAACAAGTTCAACCGATCTTGGACATTTTTTTTTGGGGGGGGGGGGGGGCACGTGCCCCCCCCCCCCCGTGACTACGGGCCTCGTCAGCGATATTATTCGTGCATGTTGAAGGCTAGTTCGTTATAAAGCGTGTGGTTTATTGCGGAGAAGCTACTTGATTCTCTCCTTAAAGCCCGTCTGCAATAGTTTCGCCAGGGGGATTAGACCTCCCTGCAAGGTCACTGACAGGTGGTTATCTCATCAAATCAGCTCTCAGTTCACATAAGAAAAAGAGGATCATGGGGGACAAAAAGGCACCGATAAGGCATTGTTTGCTATATAGATGGCGCAAGTATAGCTAGTGGGGCGTTAACATTAAGAGTTGTTACCTCAATCATGACGGCCATACCGGGTTTCCACATGTGACTTGCGCTGAGGTTATCGAGATCGACGATGAGTGTGATCCCTTCAATATGACGACCCAGCTATAGTTTAGGAAAGAGTAAACGAAAGACTCATACCCAATGGAAGAAGAATGTAGTTGTTCATGTAAATAGACATTGTATGTCACGATACATACATCTTATAGATTTTGGAGGTTTTCAATTACCCCCCCCCCCTTTACAAAATATGGAAATAGTGTTATTCTCTCTTTTCAAGAAATGGTTCTGATTTTGATTTACATGTTTTATCTTCTCAAACATTTATTTATATATCTAAAGAGTTATTGAGGTTGAAGAATAGCTTTCAATGGAATAATAAACTATAAGCGTCACAATAATTTCATGAAAAGAGATAATAAAAACATTATTCTAACTCTATTGGCAAGAGTGTACATAGAATATGTCACCCTTTCGTGTGAGGGATCACTGTGCATGTCGTATAAATTATGTCGAGACAGGGAATAAGAGTTTTTCTGTAAACAAAAGGCTAATTTTAGCAATAAGATACTTAGATAATGTTCAGGTACCCAATTGTGAATGCTGATATTACAAACGTTATCCAATTATAAAGATCAGTTAAGTTATTGAAATGAATAGATTGATACCCATAATCAAAATTATTCATGTAATCCTTATTATCTCATTATTATTACCCTTACAAACGAATGAATGATGGATTTCAACAATATTTACCTTTTGAGAAATGACTTCTTGTTCTTTGACCATTCTCTCGATGACATATATATTAGTTCTGATGATATCTCCTGTCTTCACTGAGTAAATCAGTCCTGTCATTAACAAAATCAAAAAGATTCGGGATTCAATTCAATTCAATTCAAATTAATAGGTTTTATTCAATCTCGTCAAAAAGTCCAAAGACTAAACATGCGAGTTTACATCAAACATACAATCATATTTTTTTTTAAAGCATTCAAAAACATATATATATATATATATATATATATATATATATATATATATATATATAAAGGAAAACATAGCAAATCACTTCTAAGGTTGCTCTATCATGACTTTATAGACTCATATCTTTCTTAGGGTCAAAATTCATGACATGACATGGTTTCAAAATGAATATATGATTTGAAAAATCGTCAGGAGATGCATGTGTTTTTCTTATATGCAGGATTCCTTTCTTTCTTCATAAAACATGCAAATATTTACTGCGTATAGATTATGTTTATTTTATATGTACTCAATTGATCTAGTCAGCTATTATAGATAAGTTATGTATATCAGTTGTTTAGGTATGTGACAAAATGAATGACAATTTAATAGGCCTGTATCGATTTTACAGTTATAACTCTGTAAAAGCTACAAAGTTGTGTGTAATTTTGTACCAAACGCTTGAAACAATTAGACATATTATTATCAAGGAAGATGATGAGTAAATAACGTAAAAAGTAAAGTTACATAACTGACCTTTGGGGTCAACATTCCCGATTGGACTCAACCATACCACGTGACCAAGCTTGTCCAATCCTAGTGATCCTCCTGGCCAGTATTTCAGACATACCTAAACTCAGAATAGTGAAAAGGAAAATTAACATTTTATCACAATGAAGAGACACTAGATGCAATTAAACATGCGATAGGTTTCGAACGTTTACATACTGGTCTACGGCTGGGAATACAGCCGTCCGTAACAATACGAAAACGAATATTATGGAAGAAACGGTATAGCTTTGATTGAGCCAAATTGTTAGGAAAGAAATCCAAAAAGAAGTTGTAATTGTTTCATGTAATCACCCACGATATTTTAGTGCAACATGCATCCTTATTGAATAAAATGAAATCAAATCACTGTTATATGCCAGCATGAAAGCAAAGTATAATATAAATATAATGTCTATGAATAGTGAAAACAGAACGTCTACACTGCTACTTATTTTGTCTAAATTAGTCAATTGCCTTCTCTAGATTTTCTTCTGACGCGTTGAACAAAAGGAATATAAAAGATATTTAAAATGATGACGTAAAAGTAAAAACATTCTTTTTAATAATAGGGTTTAGCAGGTACAGAAAATCATGATTTATGCATACCTCGGGTATCTTAAACCATTCGTGTATAGTGTCAACTTTCATCTGTGCTCGCCACACAATATCCTAGAGGAAAGAAATAATTATATAGGTTAACTTTTAGGTTACCCTGCTTAAAGTCGAAATCCGTGCAACTAAGCAGGCAGAAAACTGCTGTCACTATACTAGACAAAAAATAGAAATTGGAAATAGTTTCATGTGTAATGTTAACAGACATTTTTTTTTAAATAGACCTGAATTGTTGGTTTCCTGGGCATCGTTTCGCGAAGACCGCATAACTTCAAGTTCACCGACATTTTACGCTTGTTATTGTATTAATACATGCATTTCACCCCCCCCCCCCCCCCCAACTCCGTCTAACGGAGGGATACCATGCGTGTTCCCAAAACTTCCGGCTCGTAACAAAAGAAAAAGGTCTACCCGTATTGACTTTACACACCGGACTTTAGCTGAAAAGGGGGATGCTGAAAAGGCTCGTATAACAAAAGAAAAAGGTCTACCCCTATTGACTTTACACACCGGACTTTTGCTGAAAAGGGTGGTGGGGGGGGGGGGGGGGGGGCTTGCTGGGAACACGCATAATTATGCGTACCCTAAATAACACTAAGTGGGGGGGGGGGGGGGGGGGGGGGCGGGCGGGATTTAAACGTGATGTCAGCGAATGTGTTTCATGAAACGCTACCCTGGTTTATATAGCCTTTTTATAATTATTCTACATAAATATTTTTACAAGAAAAATATTTCCATACAGCTTATTTCTCACAGCCTTCACTTATAGCAGCCAAGAAGGAATGTTCGATGAAATATTACACTGTCTTATCGTGACTATACATGTAGGTCCTTCTTTGTGTTTTATCATTCAAAAGAAAATCCTCATGAAAACATTGATTAAGATATGGTCTCCTCGACATCAAATCGCCAAATAAAATGATAATGACAAGCCAAGCAAAGATAACCATTCATAAATTATAATGAAATGTTTTTTCGCCGGATTGGTATGCGTGAGGGAAGTTTGTCATTAATTTCATAAATCAGATAAATCTTTCACGTGCTGTTTTGGTTTCGAATTTCAAATGATATGGTGAAAGTCACACTAGACAAAATTACGCAAACTCTATGTTTTATACCTACATGTATGCTATTGATTTACTGACATGCTTTTTCCTCTACAATCGTTATATCGGTATTTGCATCGAAAGCCGTGAAAGACGAAAACAAAGATGATTTGCAAATTATAAAACCATCAATTATCTTTCATAATGTGAATTGCATAAAATATAGTGTTGCTTATGTAAACAAAAATCCTAAAAACATAGGTGCTGTTTATTTTTTCTAGATATTTTAAAGGCTCATTGAAACAGGAAACAAAATAGAAAATGCAGATAAGATAGAGCATTGAGGGAAATAATATGTTTATAATTAATGTCAACTGATTAACAATATCACAATGAATTATGTTATCATTGAATGCGATTATGGTTCAAGAGCATGGGTAGAGAAACGTGTAAGAAATATTTATGACATACTTTGCCAAGTGACTAATCAAAGAAAATAAACCAAGATATGAAATACGATTGTTTAATCCATTGAAAGCTATCACTTCTGTCCTAGAAGAAGAATACAATTTATGTTTTCATACCTACATGTATGATATTGATTTCCAGACATGCTTTTTCATAGTCATACTCGCTATATAGAATATAGATCAGTATTTGCATATTAAACTCCAGTCTGAAAGCACCGAACGCCGTGTAAGACGAAAACAAAAATGATTGGCAATTTATAAAACCATCAGTTATCTTTCATATCTGAATTGCAGATAATGTTGCTTATGTAAACATAATGTTGCTTATGTAAAGATATTTTGAAGGCTCATTGAAAGAGGAAACAAATTAGAAAATACAGCTAAGATAGAGCATTGAGGGAAAATAATATGTTTATAATGAACGTCAACTGATTAATGATATCACAATGAATTATGTCAACAATGCACGTGACTGCGGTTCACGAGCATTGGTAGACAAATGAGGAAGAAATGTTCATGACATTACTTGCCAAGTGACTTATCAAAGAAAATGAAACCAAGATATCAAATTAGATTTCCCCCTCCTTTAAATCAATTAAAATCTCTCATTTCTGTCGCATAGAAGAAGAATACATTTTCTAAAATGGAGATAAAGCTGAGGGGAGAATATTCGTTTTTCTGCTTTGGGCCTGACTATTGTAAGTCCAAATTCATGATTCCTGTTTAAAAAAATGTGATCTGACATACCTGGCGAATTATGGCTTCTGTCTTCTTGATGTCAAATTTCCGAGCTATAGATGGAGGAATATTAATGATGAAAATCGATTTAAAACAAAAACAAAGAATTGCAATTACATGTATATCAATGCTAAATTTATACTGGAAATACCTTCGGGTAACTAAACTACTTATAATTATCTGCATCCAGTATATTATTAGAATGTGGTGATGAATAACATGACAGCTGAATATGTATCAGCGGCGTTCTAACTTTAGTATCATATCTTAAAAAGATATAATTTTATGCCTACTCAGTTTTTAACCACAAATATTGCTAAAGTTGGCTATGTATCAATTTTAATTTTTTTAATAGGCCTATATCTGTCAAATGAATCGTAGCGCAACTGTTAACGTTTTTTTATGAAAAAAATATTTATGTATGTACAAGTCATGTGTGTTTCTAAAAAATGACAACAAAGTTCGTTTTCTTGTTACATTGAATAAAAGGCACCAATTACATTTATTTTAAAAAGTGAAAAGGAAGAAGAAAAACTACCTCGTAGAAAGCGGAGCAGCTGATGTACATCATGGATTGGTTTCTGTATATCATTCAGTTTTGATTTAAGCTGTAAAGGAATGGTAAAAAAACAGATTCATGGCAGCTCTAGGATCTCAGAAAAGGGGGTATGGGCTTAAGGTGACAACTGGGTTTTTGTTGGGGTGTTTGATTGTTGGGCTTTTTATAAATTATATAATACATTATATAATAATGATGAGAATACAACAACATAACACAATTTTAATCAGAAAGCATTGAACTAAAAACATTTAACTGACAAATGCAATGTAATGAAAACCAGGACAAAATTTGTGAATTTTTCATCTTTGTACAGAAATTGATTTCACTGAAATGAAAGAAATCAAAGAATATTAAAAAAAAAAAAAAAAAAAAAAAAACCTTACTAGCGGCGTGTATACACACTGTTCAAGACCGGAGTAGGCTATGGGTAATCCTTGTCCCCTGCTCCATGGCAGATATTATATCCACGACATAAGGCAGTAAAATATAATTACAAACAAAAATACTAACTATTTATCTTCATAATACTAGATAATGATGTGAAACTTAATGAAATTCTCAAAAGTATGAATAGGCCTATCCCTAAAGAACCCAATGTAACACCATCCGACTAAGTTGGTCACTGTGTACAACTTTGCAAGACTGGTCTGTAAATTAAATGAGCAAACATGCTTGAACTATAATATTACCTCTTTCAATGCATCGGCTTGATTAGCAGTCAGATCATTCAATGTTCCACTCATTGTGATTCCACAGACGATACTACAACTTAATGAGGTAACACTTATAAACTAAGACAATTCAAGTCATTACTCCGAAGATCCGGTATACGCAGGATAAATAATCTAAAACGAACTAAGGGATAGAGGAGTCTAAACTCTAAAGTCCTCAGGCATATTCATACCGATACTTTCAGGAAAAATTGAATACGTAAACGCCACTGTGACCTGCTTCGTCATACTCATTAAAAGGAATAATTATTGAGAATGTTTAGTTTCATGAGGGGAAGGTCAAGGAGTTTCACATTTCCAGGATCAGGTGCACGTAGGCCTATGATATATGATTACACTGGATCACAATATCTTTGATCGACATAATATTATATTAATAATGCATTATTGTCTTTCATTTACAGGAATCTTTAAAGATAACAAAATTAGTATTATTAAGCTATAATTTATTTATGAAGTTTTATTGATATTAATTTGCATTTCCCAATGAGGGGGCTATATTTATGCAGGCTACCCCTTTTTCAAAATAATTGACTCTTGTCCAAAGTTCACTTGATCGTGTTAATCTATCATCATATTCATACCTGTTGATAATGGTTCCTCATGATCAATTATCTATTAATCTAACACAAAGATCATCTACTTCAGACTATGACCGGTCGACTATGTTGTTTGATCAAACGATTTAATCATTGTCTTATTTTCAAAATTAGGATTTTAGGGCTTTAAAAAACATTTGCTTTTCTCATTTTCATGTCCAATGCCCCTTTGGTAATAGCAAATGTGCTACGCTAGTATCTAAAGCACAAGTAAAGTAAATAAAAACAATATGGAGGGTGAATGAGAAAAGAAAAAAGTATTTACCACTTTCTAAGATCTCAGCACCATTTTCACTCCTTCTGCATTCTGTTCTGTATAAACCGCATAGAGAAATGTAATTATGAATATGTGTTATGCGCTATACAAAAAGCTTAATTATTATTATTATTTTTATTTATGAATGTACAGAAGATACAAACACTTCCCCAAACAAAAACAAAAAAAAGTTGAACACATAATTTGGGCGGACGGACGGCGTATAATGAAAGATGGGTGAAACGCCATCTAGTGTTGGGCACAAGGCAATATTAACAAAAATGACGTCTCTTGTAGCAGACTACCCCTCTTCTTCAGGCTCGGACTCGGACTCTGAAGCTGATATTCCAATTAATCGTCAAGAAAAAGAAAGTAAAACGTAAGTGGCGTGCTTGGGTCTTGGTACAAAGTATTTGTCATTGCGAAAAATTATCAAAATTCGACTGTTAACATGCAAAATATTTCTTCATTCTATAACATTATCCCACCTATTCAAGTTAATGTAATGTGAGTGCAGGTGAATCATCGACGATGCGGGGGGGGGGGGGGGGGGGGGGGTAAGTAGGATGGTTAGAGTAGGTACCTGACTAGATATGAAACATGTAGGGATGAGATTTGAATTATGTTGTGGATTGTCACTTTGTTATGTATGGTCTGGACTTCTGCAAATTCTGGTCATGAAATAATTTTTGCAGCAACATTTTTAAATTTTGCTGCTTTAAAAAAAAACATGGCTTCTCTTTCCTCTTTAAGTTTAATTTGTAAATCATACTATGAGACTGAGAAAGAAATCAATGACTGATGTGTCTCTTAATTTCTATTCCATATTTCACAGGCGACACAATCTATTGACCAGTCAAGATACCTCAAGTTCTTCTGACTCTGACTCAAATGCTTATTCTTCTGACCGTTCCAGGAAGAGCAGTGTAAGGAAGTCTGTCAAGGCAGACAAAGACAATGTTCCACTGCCATTACCTCAAGGTTTCTCATCATCTGAGCCCCTTGGAGGAACGGGTAATGCCAAGAACCTCCTTAGTTTGTCTGTCTTTGCCAATCCTTTCGAGCAAGCCAGACAAGATCAACTATCTATCCTTGAAAAGCATGTCAAGATGAAAGAACAAGAGAAGCCAGATGGTGCTGCTGCTGCCAGAGGAAATCATAAAATGTGCTACAAATTCCAGAAGGGAAATTGTAGGTTTGGAGACACTTGCAAGTTCTCTCATGGAAGTGATCATAAACCTGTGTTACTTACTGGGGGAAACTCTGAAGCTTACCCTAGCGCTGCAAGTGGAGGACACATGGGGGCTCCATTCCAGGATGACCTTTACGATGAGGGACAAAGAGCAAAGGAGGAGGAAGAGACGATAAGAAAGAGGAGGAAAGATAGAGCCGGACTTAGTGAAGCCCTGGTCCCATCAAAGAAAGCAAAGAGAATATATGATAGGCAGAGAACGCAAGAGAGACCATGGACTGCAAAGAGATAACTTATGAAGAAGGAACTTTAAATCAGCTATTTGTACTACATGTATTTGGAATATTTCAGTAGCACACAAATCTAAAGTAGTATTCATTCCATTGCCTATGGAGAACCGCAAGGACATTTACTCTTATTCAAAATGATATGACGAAGTATCATTCTCCCTCTCAGCAGATATTGAGTAAGCAGTTAGGAACAGAGTTTCATTGTCATGTCCAATACTTACGGTATTACTATTTCTTTGTAAGAGTCTGCAGAAGTTAGATTTCCTAATGAATTGAGCAGTCAGATATTTTGTATTTGATTACAGCCAAATTTTCTGATGCATACTACATAAAAGTCATGACATGTTTCTTTGGTTATTTGTACATGAATCTGCCTTGTTTGCTTTTTGACAAGTACAAGTATTTAAACAGAATTGTTAATTGATTTAGCAAGAAGTTACCACTGAAATTATCTGCACCACTTTATTCTCATTGCTTAAGCAGTGTGTACTGCTGATATATTTAAACCTCTAAACCTTTAAAAAAAATGGGTGTGCCAGGCCTTTGACTCACACAGCAAGGCCAAAATAAATGAAATTCAAGTTTACAGCACCAATGTACAAGGTGCTGTTGTTGCCATTAAAATTTCTCTCCCATAGTTACTTACCAAGTGTTATTGTAATAGGATTTGGTCCTCCTGAACTGCATACTTATCTTGATTATGTAAAAAAGGAATTTACTAAACGGGTCATAATGGGTCTGATTCCATAAGTCAAAGACACTTTTTTAAATTCATGTAAATATAAAATTATGACCATCTTATAAAATATGAAACAAGAAATATAATTACGAATGTTTCTTATCCTTTCCCCCTTTTTGCAATAAATGTACTATAAGTATAGAAAAACTTTTGTTTATTACGCGCTTTATAAATATTCTTTTATTATTATTATAATAAATTACTACATACTTTGCCAGCTAGATCATTTATTTGTCCCGTTATTTATTGATGTGCTAGCTGTATGATTATCAACAGACATATTTCTAAAGTTGCATTTGTCTGGGATATTTTGCTTTTGAGGATAGGGATAGTGATGTTGATGGGATGATGATGGTAGTGATGATGATGATGGTGATGTAAGGTGTTGGTACATGTAACTCGCTGTTGCCCAATATACAGTTGTATGAATAATCTTGTGGCTTTGATTTGTCCAGATTTTCCAAAAGTGACCAAATATTAGGGACTCTCTTGCCAAGCTTTGGCACAATGGTAATTTCTAGATTACCAACAGACTCCCCATATCTCTCTATTCTCATCATCCTCTTCATCTATATTACCATCACCTTCACCAACCTCATGACCATATTATCACTGTCTTCATCACATCATCATCACTATCATTATCATCACCAGTCACCACCATTAATTCATCATCACCATCACTGTCTTCATCATCATCGACATCATTATCACTTTCATGATGATCATTATCATCTTCATTTGCGACTATTTATTCATCATATTCATCATCATCATCATCATCATCATCATCATCACCACCATCATAATCATTAGCACCATCACTACTACTATCATAACCTCATTACCATCACAATCACTACTGATAGCCTTTGGGAAAGTGCATAAAATATATATATTACCTCAGGTATTATTTGACATAATTCTACTACATATCTCTGAACTGATCACCAACATATTACTCAATGAAAATAACAAGATTGCATTTGTTCATATTTATTACAAGGATTATATTTGTAAGCATCTACCGAAGAAAAACAAAATGGTATCAAAATATCTTCAGTGTCCGTACATTCCTTCATAACTTGTAGGGAAAACATACCTTTGTGAAATATCTGAAGTGAAGATAGGCATGCTCGCCTATACATAGATCCTGGATTTCTGTATTGTAAGGACACACAGGTGTATGTATACCCAGTGCATAATGTAGCTGGATTCTTTTTAAAGTCAAGCTTCATCTCTACAGGTGGATTATGTATTGTAATGGATGTAAATTACTTTATACGTTAAAGGTAAAGACCAGTTTTGGAAATGCCCTCTCTCAAAAAAATGAAATGGAAGCTCTTATTACCAATCATGTTAAAGAATGTTTTGACTAATACGTGACGATACAAATTTTGCCAGGAAACCGCCTACTAATTGATATATTTGGTAAATTATATATCTATTTGGACCTGATAGATATCGCTCACGTGTCGGGTAGTCCCATATACATCTTTCTGTGTACAGTGCTTGTAACTTTACCAAGACTGGGCCAAATTTCTTATCATTTTAATGACCCCAGAACCTTGCAGTACACACTAATACTTATATACTAGATGATCAACCTTTCTGATCGATTCCACAACGTTTCTTTCACAATGCAAGCGCATGACAAGAACTGGTCTTTAACTTTAAGCTTAAGCTGTATGGTCTGTCAATATATAAAAAATATAATTGTAGTTTGTGCAGTTATGTACTCTTTGGGCATAAGAAGATAATTGCTTACAGCAGGCCACATGCAACTGCCTATGTGGGAAGTAAAAACAAATTTCTGCGTGAGATATTAATTTCCAAGAAAACAACATTTAATCATCCTCTTCACCAAATGTCTTGTTGATCTCCCATCCTTCTCCGCCTTCCAAAGTTCCATGTTGTTTAGTTTGTTTGTTTAACCTGACTGATAAGAAAGCATGTGCATGCTTGTAAGGAAGCAACCAGGGGACCGACGGCTCTAAGTCATCTCCAAGGGATTTGGCAATCAGAAATAATGCCTTACCAAAGGGCACTAGCACATCAAATAGGATCCTAACCAGGGACGTCCCAGTTATGAGAGTACTACTCTACCACACAGCTATCACGCCTCACTGATGTTATAAATCTATAATTGTTGACTTTCTGTGGTGTAGTAGTGTAGCAAGCTTCCTCTCCATTTTAAACAATACTACAGCTGAATTGTAAGCACTTTTCAGTGTCCACTCCTGGATCAATATCATTTGACAATTTCGCTCTTCTTAAATGTCACTAATGTATAAAAAGATCCATGTATCGACATCATGTTATTGAAGCTACAGCAGAAGATTTCTTTTTCCTCTTCATCTTAGATGGAGCACCCTTGATCCTGAAGGCCGTACTGTCAAAACAAGAAGAGAACAAAGTGAAAATTATTGCAATGAAGGTACATATTTTACAAACAAAGTTTATAATGTGATTGATGAAACAGAGACAAAATAATTGTCCTATAACAAAGAATATTCAATCAATGTCTCCATAAAAGAAAATTAACATAAAATTATATACAAGAAAATTTTGTGTGTGGTGTCAAGCACTACATAAGATAGCATCAAAGAAATGGTAGATGCATTAGGCATTCTCAACAGTATAAGACTAATGGTCATAACTTGTTGATCCATAACAGAACAGTATGTGATTCATGACATTAGAATAAATTGTGAACCTTCCTACCAAAAAAAAACATGTTATATTGTATTGTCCTACTGTCTTCAAATACAACTCCTTTCAAATTAATGTGCATTTAGGATGGTCTTTAGTCCAGGATTGTCAGGCTTGTAGTCAATGTCAGAGAACATTTATGAAGTATTTCATTGAGTGTTGATCACAAAAAAAGGAAGACAAAAAAAAAAGAAGAACTTACTGGCATGTTGAGCAGATGGGACTATATGTGCAGAAAACTGAAGAACAAATGAAAAAGAAAATGACTCATATACACAAAGATAAGAGAATAAATTCATGCTTAATTACGAAACACGGTTCAATCAACATTTGGCATACAGAGAATTAATGTGATTCACATATACATATAATCTACATGAAGAAGTTGCTTGATCTATACATGTATGAATACACTCAAATTTGAGTTTAGAAAACAGAGAAGTTATGTTTCTCCTGTCAAACAATCATTTCTTCCATTAACCACATCTAAATTATAGCAGGTCAAGTATACAAATGAACTTGACCCTAAAATCGACAATAAAAATTCCATTAAGATATAATTTATTACCCCTTGTTTTCTACAGTGAATCCTAACACATGCCCTTAAATTAGGTTGGCAAATTCAACATAATTATTACAGACAAATCATCAGACAATCATCTATGCATATCTTTATTTACATGTTTAGTTACAACCAGGATCATATTTGAATACTTACTGGAAAGACAGACAGAGCATACATATCCCACATCAATGAGTATACGATGGCAGAAACATGCTGCCCTGTAGTCAACATGGATGGCTGGTGGTAAGACTAGGCTGTCTCTCTGGCTTGGAGATGGTAGGTATACCCACTTAAGATGACAAAGAGTTGAAACATAATAGTTGAAAAAGATAGTTGCATCCCCAGAGGTTTTTTCCAATAATAATGATATCAAATATTTAGGAGCGCTAAAAACAATAAGTACCATAGCGCTTACAAATACAAATATATGAAAAGAGAACAAAAATGTACAGTACAGGAAGTATATCACATAGATGATTGGCGAGTCATTTCATGGAGTTTGAAAGCCCCACTGCATTACGTATAGCTACTTGCTTCCTCTATATAGCAAACAATACCTAATCAGTGACCATTGGTCCCCATGATCCTCTTTTTCTTATGATAATTGAGAGCTGATTTGATGAGATAACCACCTGTCAGTGACCATGCAGGGAGGTCTAATCCCTCCTTGCCAAACTAGTGCACTGGGGATTTTAAAAGTTCCCTCCCAGAGACATTGAATAAAGAAAGAGGGAACTGTTGACTAATTACCATGCTCATGTATGGGGATATCTGCATGTTACAACTACCTCTCTCAATGCACTATAAGATCAACATGCTGGGCAGATAATGACACACACACACACACACACATTCTCACATCAGGGCCTTTGTGGGGCACCTGATTGTGGGGTATTTCTGTGCGTTCCAGATATACCTTGTGGTCCCCTACTAGTGGGGTATGTACAACCTGGCGATAACAACCCGGCGGTGTGCTTACGATGCTACCATAAAAAAGTGTGCAAGTTTTAGCACACGCTCACAAAAAGTCATTTATGGGGTACCACTTCTAATGCCCCGCAGGGCATAGGACACCGAATATACAGTCATTTGAAAGACTTTACTCTGTGGGGTCCTGAAAAAATACCCCACAAAGTAAAAATGCCTCACAAGGGGTATGTGAAGCGCACATAAAACCCCACAAGAATGCTGAGGTGAGAGCGCACACACACACATGCACTATCACACACAGAGAGTATAGTGCATGAATCTTTTGCAGATTTTTTGAGTTGTAGAGATTCCCAAAAGTTTCATGTTTGTCAAATTTTAAAATTAGATTGACTCACATCATTTAACAATGTAAATCTGAGATGCATGGCCTGATATGGTGTAATATTGAAGCCCTAAAAGAATTGTGCTTCAAAATGATCAAGAAGTGCCTCAAAAAAGTAAAAATCTTTGAGTGACCGGTTTTACCATACTCCTTTTGGCAAACGGTTTTCAAAATTTGTAATTCCAATCATAAATATCTTGATAGTCAGACAGGCGATCGGCTTGTAAAAGTCATGGAGTTCCTGACTGACCTAAAGGTTTATAATTATCATTGCAGCATGAGCTAAATCCAGGATTTTGTTTCAGAATCTGAGACAAAGATACCGGATCCCTTTAAAATATTTATTTTGTAATGCATAAAACTTTTCTTGCTAATAAAACATCATCACTAACAATTCTGAAAATTTTACATTGAAAAGCCAGGTTTCTGATTGATAATATCACTTCATAATGCTTTGCAAATGTAGTGGCGCCATCAAAGAGTGACTTTGAAGGATGTTCCTGAGTAATGTTTGTGTGTGTGTGTGTATTTACTTTGCACAATATCAGGAACTTGAGGTTACTGAACACACTGAAAACATAACCACCTGGCCCTTCACAGCTAAGGTACGCACAAACATTACTGAAAAACGT